TGTATGTATGTATGTATATGCACACGCATATATGTGTGTAGACAGTAGGGTATATAGGTATATGTGCATAACTGAAGTTACTTATGCATTAATCGCACACACACACACGCACACTAGTTTGATCTAGTTTGTGTATTCGTGTGTATACACCATACTACATGCCATATACCGCTCGTATCTGTACATATACATACCTACATATTCATACACATGCGCATATGTGTACATACATNNATATATATACACATACATATACACACGCATATGCAGTCTTCCATACATTTCTTTGCTACGTATTGCCAAAACTCTTCTATATACGGTTGTCTATCTTGTTCTGGTTGGCAGTATTGAACACACACACACACACCTGCATGCAATAGATATTTTTAAGCATGTCTTTAACCGAGGACCCTGGATGTCTTGGATCCCCTTTTGCAAAGACCTGCCCCCTGAAGCCGTACGGTCGGCCGTGGGTTTTGATTTGCTTTGTCCACGGTAACACGAAGTGCAAGAGCCCGAAAGGCCAAGAGGAGCAGACCCCTCTCTCTGGCCGTCGATGCTTCAGTCTACAACCATGCAAGTCCAAGCTCTTCGGCAAGTCCAGCAGTAAGCTGCCACAGTAGGAGTAGAAGCAGCAGCTCTACGAGTAGTCGCAGGTTTGCATGGAACAAATGGCGAACAATGCAAGACAAGACGCCTAATGTTTAGCACGGCAGCTCCGCACTTAGATCGGTTGATGGTGCCCAAGTTGGCGAGCCTCTTCAGTTTCTCTGGCTGCAGGTCATCCGCGACTCCTGGCATCTTGCGGGCATGCTCTCTCTGCCTCCAGCCTACGGATGCCTCCAACTGCTGGAACGGAGAAACAGCAAGATGCAAAAGGCTCTCGGTATTAGGCGGAGCTGAAGAGTTTGCACAATAGGAAAGGCCCGGAAAGGCATCCTGCGTCTCTGTTTCCCTCAGAATTCGGTCTTGAGAGATGAGGACAAGATTTGTTTTGAAAATCCATTTGTTTTGCTTGCCGGTGCCACTGACTCTGTCGAGTGCTCCACTGCCCCACTCAATGTTCAGCACCTTTTGACGAAGTTGTCGAACCCTCAAGTTCCTCTAGCAGCCAGAAGAGGGTCGGACCACGCATCAGGCCAATAATATAAGATAATATAATATACTATAATATACTATAATATACTATAATATACTATAATATAATATAATACAGCATCAGCACACCATCTGTAAAGCCAGGTCCGAGCTGCCCACACAGCCGTGCATCTCAGAGAGCTCGCAGTTGCAGAGTTGTCGTCGGTGCCTTGCTACCTCAAGGACAAGCCCTGCAAAGCGATAGGGTACAACCACCTAAGACTCGATCGACAAGTAGTTTTGTAGTCTGCTCATGGCGAAGGTTCTACATACGTGAGCAACCTTCAAACTGTGTAGCAGTGTAGCGCAAGTTGATCCTAGATCATGTTAGTATGGACGTCCCGCCCATGGAGACCTGGATGCGCCTTGGAGTGCAGAATCAATTGGTCATGGATTTGCCATGGATTTGCTTTGAAGTGCTTTCATATGCTCAAGTCTTGGATCCTGAGGCCAATGGCACAGTTGGACACCAAACTCCTTGTATGGCACCAGTTGGGCTGGCAGCTCATGGTGCCCAAGACCTTAGCAGCTGGATGGCACCGGAGTTGTCGCGGCTGTGCATTGGTGGAAAAAAGTAGTTCCACGCATGCATGTGTCATGTGAGGTTGCTGCTTGCTGCTACTGAAAAGAATAGAGTGTTGCCGATATTGTGTCGCACCGCACTATGCAGGGACAGGCAGGCCCGTCTGTTCACTGGTTTGAGTCCATCCGACAGTGCGAGTTTGAGCGCCAGCTTCTGCCTGTGACACCTTCACCGCCGCTTCAGCTGGATCATTTCATTCGCGGGGTCTTTCGGGACGGGACTGTGGCCGACAAAGATTCCGGCCATGGGCCATGAGGCCGCAACCGCAGATGTTTTCAAGACCCTCTAGACTCTTAGACTGCCCTACATAGTAAACCCCAAGCCCTCTTGGAGAAGTTTGGGAAGTCAAGAACACCGAACCCTAAACCCTTTCAGGAAGTTGATGCTTTCAGGGTTTAGATCTGGGGAAACAGGACGGAGGTGACGCTGCATGTGCAGTCAGGCCTTGACAGATCCGAAGGTTTGGGCTCTTGACGCGCGGGCGCGGTTTGTTTCGGAAGTTCAATGACAAAGTCTGAATGATGGAGTTGCAACCCTTTCTGCACTCACTGTGAGACGACACCGCTGTAACCTTTCGCCCAACCTCTCGTGCTTCCATCTCTGATTTACTGCAAAAGCCCTCATGCTTCGAAGGCGCCCACTCACACAGTATAGACGGCTCGTGGCTCCCTCTGCTTCTGGGCGGGAAGGGGGAGGGGGGGCTGAAGTCGGCAGTATCTGGTTTTCGCACAAAATACAAGGGGTACAGAGTACAATGACAGAGCCTGAAGATACCGTTTTGCTCGTCGCATGAGTGCCCCGTAGCTACCGAGATGCTTTGTGATACACACCTACAAAAGTCCAAAGTTTGCAAAGAGCTCTGCTACCTCCCCTCTATTGCATGTGTAGCATACGCACCCCGTCCGTCTCGTATCCTATCGTGCCATAGTTGGATATGCGAACTGTGGATCTGGGTTCAGTGTGGAAACATCTTTGCTGCTGTTTGATATGCAGTTTCTGATAGGTATGGGCAGACTGCCATGATCACACCGCGATGTCCTTTGGGCTGGGTTGCCTTCGTCGTGGCCTAGTGTCTGTGTACCTGTGCGAGGGCATATCTCTTGATTCTTGATGAACCTTGCCCCAGGCATGAGGCTTTCGGGTGTTAGAGGCCTGCCTTCATCCATTACATTGTACTGTTGAAGAGTAGCATGTCTTGTGTCCATGAAGAAGCTTTCAGTCCCCAAGCACCTACTAGTTACTAGGTCCTGGGTATGCCAAATGCCAGCAGTTCTCGTGACATCTTCTGTTATGGACAGTGATGTGGATGTCGGGAATATCGCACTTGGCATTTCGGCTCCCGGTGTGCACTACCGCAGTAAGCCCCCCTGCACCAAAGCCTGGAGACCACCCGAAAGCTACCCGGAAGCACTTATCACGAGCAGCCAAGACAGAAGGGAAGGCCCAAGACAATGCAGACCTTGGATGGATATGCCCGCAAAGCAGCCTAAACAGCTGGCGACCCCGATTTCCTGAACTTTCTTACCTATAAGCCGCCTGCCCTGATGCCAGAAAGCCGACAAGCCCTCCTCAATCCCCTCAATCCTGTAAACCACGGCCCCTCCTCGTCGCTGCGGAAGCATGCCATGTTTCTGGATGGCGTGACAGACCGAGGCATCAAGGGTTTTCTTCTCAGTTCTGCCGGGTCTCTGCGAGTTGCTAGGAGCTCCGGAGGGTTTCTGTGTCTCTCAGGAGCAGGGGGTTCTCTTCAGCACCGGCATGAGGTGTGCATGGAGGTTTTGAAGCCAGCAGGCACGAACCAAAGGCACCCAGCCTTCCGTCAGTAATCTTGGCACTGGCCGTGGTTACTTGGAGGTGGTGGTAAGTTCTCGAGTGAAGAGTGTTGTCGGATGGCCGTGCTAACGAAGCAGCGCTTCTCGTCAAATCTGATGATGGCTCTGCCGCTGCTGCCACCGCGACTGCTGCTGCTGCTTGCCGCTCCTGGTTGCGATAGTGACGGTGATAGCGACGGACACCGACTGCAGCGCTGCTGATGATCAATTGATGCAGTTGCTAGCACTAGCAGCAACTGCCACTGACGATGATGTTGATGATGCTGATTCATACTACTGATGTTTGTTCGTGCTTCACGTTTTTTGGCATCATCTTCCAGCCTGCAGGAGCTATGAATGCTTCCCGGGCTTGAGGCATCATGCCAGCAGAGGCAGCCGAAGGCGAGCAGGGCTGATCTCTCAACCCTCGTAGTTTCGGCACGGTTTGCCGTGGCACGAAACTGATAGAGAGAGAAGATACCTCGGGGTGCCCATGGATGCCCTGACATGACAGCCTGTAGGGTGAAAGCATTGGCAGTTCTGTCAGCAGCCACAAACCCTGAAGCCTGCACGACATTCCAGCAGCCTTATAGCATCTCAAGCACGTGAGGGGGGCTGGCCTCAATTTCACGTGTGCTCGTCACCTAGGTTGGGGCCAAGGCAGCTCACCAACCCAGACCCCAAGAAGGAATTGGTGTGTTGAACTGCAGCGAGTGTGGCACGCGAGGGGTTTCCGATATTCGGGTGCGACTTGAGTTCTGTGCATTCAGCTTGCAGGGCTTCAGCTCATGCTGTGTGCGCTGCGAACCCCCAACCGAACTTTTGAACTTCCTCCTGCGAAGGGCTGCCATATGAGTGGAAGGGTATGCCTAGCGGGGCTGAGCAGGTTCTTTGCTGCCAAACGGCCCTGAACCTTGAGTGCTATGTGCAGGTGACGAGGAAAAGGAGAAGGCTGCCGAACGAGGCTGTTTCTATCAAGCTCGGAGAGTAGGGCTTCAATAGGGCCTTGGTGTACGGTAGGGTTTCTGCGACATGGGTCGTGGCGGGGTCAGACGAGGGAACACTCTCGGAGGCACAGGTTTGGGGTTCTGTACTCTGAGGGGAAGCATTCTAAGACAATCTTGGCCAGACACAATGCATTTCACGCAGGAGTAGAGTCAGTCAGTAGAGGCAGAAGACAGCGACACACCGATGCTTGTCCGTCGTTTGTGCGTAGCGGTAGCTGATGCCAGTGAGATAGTTAAAGGCCGTGAAGCTGATAGTACGTTCCAAAGATCGTGCTACAGGCGGCGGGCTAGGAGGTCTGATGCCGCAATTTGCCGCAGATGCCACATGTCACACATTTCGGCCAAACGTTCCAATCGTTAAGACCGCTCAGACCTTCGAAATCCTACACCCGAAGGCCGGTAAATGTTCACCAGCTTTCTGCAGGTGCTGTGCGCGGCCGGCATTCGACAGAATCCATGCAGCAAGACAGTCGGTTCGTGGCTGTATGCCTGTTGTTGAGACGTGTTCTGCTGTGCAGGTCCTGGTGACATTGGATTTTGTGAAGGTTGTGAGTGTATGCAGTGAAGGGGAGTCTAGCTAAAGGTTTCAGCCGTCTGTTGTTGGGTTCTGGCGGAGAGCGGTGAACGAATCATAAGGGTGCGAATCATTCGAAATATTATCCCCTTCTATCATCTAGTTTCTAGTTCTTACACCACAATAGTAAGGATGTCTTTCGCAGCGTTTTGAAGCGATCGTGTAGTCAGTAGACAGGAGCTTTAGAGGCACAACTGTCTTGCGACGCACTGCAATTTGTTTGGGAACCCGCAAACACTTGTCCCATGTCTCCGAGACAAAGGCCCTGTTGGATGCCTGTTTTTGTCCGTTCAGAGTCTCCGAGGAATGGCTCCACACAGGTGCGCGGTTGCGTGGGGATATATAAGTTGGAATTTAGTTTAGCGTGGTCGTGTGCGAATAGCGCACTCGGAATTTCGGCCAGTGTGGCTGGGTTCCTGAGTTGATGATGTTTTTGGTCCAGGGTTTCAACCTAAGGTGAGGTTGTGCAGTTTTAAACTTCGATGCGTAAAGTGTACATGACATCTTGACCCAGACTTGGTGGGTGATCGATCCCGGAGCCCCCTGCTTTGACAACAGTACTGTGGAAAGGTTGGTGGCCTAGGCCCCGGAACCCTGACCCTTCAACTCGGAACTGAATCCTAAACCCTTGGTAAACCCTTGGCCCAGAAACCCTAAACCGAACTCACGTTGAGAAGACTTTCTCCAGAACCCGTGCCAGCTTGTACATGTACAAGTGTGCGTGTCGGCTTGCTAGGCGACTTGGTGCTTCTCAAAGTCTACTTGCGGGACAGCGAGGGATACGTCGAGGCGGCTACGAACACGCAGGCGCGATGCGTGACTTCTCGGGCTGAGTGAGAAACTTAGCCTATGGAGTTTGGGCTTCGGGTTTACTGTAAGGTTTGCATGAGCACACAGGCTCAACACAGGTGCCGAAGCCTTCTTCAGGGCGCGACTTGAGCCCGGAATTCTTAACACCAGGGTCCTTGTGGCCTTGGGGTGACGATTGCCCGCAAGTCCGAAAACCGAGGCCCTAAACCGATGACAGACCGAGTTCGTTTTCATTCGTCTGATCTCCGTCTTCAACTTCGCTTCGTGAGCGCGCAAAAAACCCTAAACCATTCCTAAACCCCTAGACTCCGAGACCCTGCGGGGAAAGGTGAGGAGCCCTTCGAGATCAATGTTCCATCATCACACCCTGGGCCTGTCACATCCAGTTTCGCCCCCGAAGATATCAATATGTTGGCCCGCGCAGTGAAGATCTCGAACATGAAGGTGTAACGGTAGGCAGATCAGGTTTTGAAGATCCCACATCTGACTTCGAAGATTTGTTTCGCCTGACTTGCTGCAGAGCAGCGCTTGCCGAGTCTGCTGCATTAGCTGCTAGATTTGCGAGTCTTTTTCGGTAGTTTCATGGAAGGTCTGCAGTGCTGTCGAGGTCCTGATGCAGACTTTACCTGCTCGCACCCCACATCCGGAATCCCGGGGGAGTGAACCGTAAATACCATTTGCTCCCACGGCGCACAAGAAGGGCCCTTGTGCACCTACGGCCGCAGACTGGGCGCTAGCTCTAACCTCAAACTCCCCCACGAGTCACGAGTGCTTGGGTTGGAGTCCCGCATCGCTTCAGGACACGGGCCGCTGAGCTGCAGCGGGCGGTAATTCTCCTGGCCATCGGTTTACCGGTTTAGGGTTCAGGGTTTCGACTCACACAGTCGCACAAGGCTGGCATGGCGTTTGACGGTCTGAGGGTTCAGGGTTTAGGGTTTAGGGAGGGGTCCCTTACTGGAGCTCCTTATATACAGGATCGTGCCACTAAGCACTAACGCCCCCTCTTGTTCGGACACTCCAGCTTCGCTCATGATACCGTACTGTGCCCTAGTACATCCGAAACACCACGACCTTTCAGACTACAAGTATTATATTCTATATTCTATATCAGGGTTCATAGTAGGAACCTGCAAAGAAGTAGTTGAGCTTTCGAAGAACCACGGCTCAGACCCCCGGCGCTGCAACAAACCTTCCCAGCTTGGGGGAGCAAAGGTGGTGGCGGTATTGCTGGTGCTTGATGGGTCTCTATTTTGGTTTCTGTTTCTAGAGGGTCAAATTGGATTCCAACTTCGGCCTACCCGGCTTGGGAACAAGGAATATATATATATATACACACACGCATACTTGCACATACACAAACACACGCACACACACACATAAATATAATATAGTACAATATAATATAATATAGTACAATATAATATAATATAACATAACACAACATAATATGAATATAACATAGATATGAATGTAAAAATTAATATAAATTTGCATATAAGTTAACATATAAATGTATATATAAGTATACATATAAAATATAATCAGATAATATAAATAAATAATATATATATATATATATACATACACAAACACATATAAGAAAGAAACGGAAACATAAAGATAAATATGAATATCAATATCAATACAGTTATAAGCATATATAAACATAAATATAAATATATAAAAGTAAATAAATAAATATGTATTACGGCTACGAATCGTGTAATTAGGTCCTAGGGCCTTCACCGCCACGCCGTTAGAACTGGGGCCCTTAGCCGCGTCTCAATGAGGCTACATCCGCGGCTCGGGCATGCACGCGACGCTGGAGGCAGGACGAGATTGCCACGCTTAAGGCTTGGATTCGGGAGTTTTGGGTGGCTTGCTGATGATCCGGACTTCGGGCCCCAACTTCGGCTGAGCTTCAGCCTCAGTCCGATGCAGTCCGATCTCTTGAATGCGGCTTTTGCTTGTCTAGGGTACCTCATGCTAGGTCCTGTTTAGGATCCCCCCCCCACCCCCGAATCCCTTAGTTTCCCCAAAACTCCCACCAACCGAAGCAGGTCGAGGGCGTGGACGACTTCCACACCGGAACTGTAGACGTGCGCGACTTTATTTTCGTGGTCGTGGAGCAGCTGAGCAGCTTGGCACTTGGTAAGGGTTTAGGGCTTAAGATCAGGAATGTTTGCTACCCCCAAAGCTTTTCAGGGGTTTTGGCTTCCTTCCATACTTCCATGGCGCATGACAGGCTACAACGCCCAAAAGGACCTGCTGAAAAAGAAGAAACAGCACCTTGGCTGCATTGGCACGAGCGGCAGAGGGCCAGGAATGATCAGTCGATGGGGTCAGGCAGACACAGTATACATATATAATATAATTTCATACAATGAACTATATTTTCATATAATATAATAAAAGATAATATAATATAATAAAAAATAAAATAATATAAAATAGAATAAAATAAAATAATATAATATATAATATATAATATACAGTATACAATATACAGTGATTGGCTTCAGCTGGTGGGCTTGCGGCCCTCACTGCAGATGCGGTTTTCGGATGCAGGTGCTGGAGTACATAGGCAAGGTCAGACAAGGTCAGACTCACTCCTGTGTGGATAGAGCAGTCTGGCTGCATCAACCCTAAACCTAAACCCTATAGTATACTAGAAACCCTAAAACCTTACAGTATACTAGAAACCCTAAAACCCTATAGTATACTAGTTGTGTATTTTGGTCGACTTTTGATAACCAGCAGTCAGGCTGTACCAGGAGGGCCTGGACCCCTCCAGTGCGTGCCGGAGCCTCACAGGGACCACTGCATTTCATGGGCGCATATGTCTTTCACAAGGGGAGGATCTTCAGGCTTTAGGGTTTAGGGTTTAGGGTACAGGGACAGGGTTTGTAGAAGCCAAGGAGTAAACAAACGAATTTGTTAGGACTCGTGATCTTAGATTTTCTTGGTGAGCGCGGTCTTGAACTTTTATGGTGTCGTCGAGTTACTTGAGCATATTCGATTCACAGACGGCCTTTGAAAGGGTTAGTTAGTTTTGCTTTTCGGAGGCGATTAGATTGTAAGGCCTGTGCTCGATTTTTGGGCCTCGGATGCTTGCTCTTTGGTCATTCGGTTTTGCGCAGCATCACTCGTTAGTGACCGTTCGTGTCAACGGCGAGCAAAGAAAATTGCCCTCGAGATGTGATACTCCATGCTTCAAGATCGATCAGCCCCAAATAGGTAAGCTGTGACGATTCAGGTCATCACAGGCCAACCCCAGATAGTCCCAGAACTGCGAACTCTGGGCCTATCGATCCGGGCCCTGCAGTCTACGCACTGCAGCTGCGCAGCCTCGAAGAGCGTGCCAAGATGGAGGCCGTCGACGGGGCCTCCAAGGGCTCACAGCTTGAAGTTTCCGGGTCCTCGGGGCTGGGTGGTTTCTATGCGCTTAGCTATCGCAGCCAGCTTCGGACTTTCAGGAATGGATCCACTTGGTGCTTGCAGCAGAAAAGACCTGTTGAAAAGCGGGCATGTCTAGCCCAAGCAAAGGATCCTGGCCAACACAGCCTCTGAATCACCCTTCCCGCACAGCCCCTCGTGAGTCTTCCACGCAGGTTCTTTGCTGCGATTGCCGTGAGCCCCGAACTGGCCCGCAAAACATGCCAGTCCCATGAGCAGAGCGTGAACTCCCCAAATTGGGCGTAGATACTGCAGACAGACCCCTCCTGCGCCCGAGGTTTTGGACAACCTCGAAGCCTGAAAACCACAAACTGGCGATGCTTTTCAATCCGAGAAAGCGTTTCCCCCTTTTGCAGAAGGTAGGTTTCGCCGAAGCAGCCTCAGACTTCCCCCAGACATCCCCAGAGCCAGGCGGAGCAGAACCTCAACAAGCAGCATTCCAAGCCCAGGCCGTTCAGAAACCGGGGAGAGCTTAGGGCTAGGGCAAATACCAGGAGTAGAAGCGCTGGGAGTGGTCGTCGTCGTAGTCGCAGTCGCAGTCACAGTCGTCGTCGCAGTCGTCGTCGCAGTTGTAGTCGTAGCCGCAGCCGGAGCCATCGAGCTGTAGTTGCAGTCGTAGACGCGACATAGTCGTAGGTTGTACATCGTTCGTCTTTGCCATTGTCGTAGTTGTAATAGTAACGGTCGAAGTCGTAGTAGTAGTAGCAGCAGTAGCCGACTGCCCGGATCAGCGCCTCGGTTCAAAAAGTAGTAAGTATGAGGTAGTAATGAGTCGCATTCGAAGCAAGGGCAGCAGGAGGATGAGCAGTGGGAGTAGGAGTCGGAGTAGTAAGTAGGTAAAGCAGCGCCACGAGCAGCAGCAGTAGCTGTAGTGGCAGCCCTCAACAAATTCAATGACATAGGACATAGGCTTTATGAAACCATGAAGGGAATTAGTGTTTAGGGTTCAAAAACACTAAGGCAGCCCGTGGCAATAAAGTTTAACACCTACATAAACCCAGTGGGTTCCCCTACAGAACGGAAAGTGTACACTGTTTGGGGGCTTATGAACTCAGCAGCTGAGCCAGTAAGCCCTAACCCCTTAACCAGAGGAGCCGGCCCTGAGGAATAGCCGAAATGCCTTAAATGATATGGTTTTTGAACCCAAAAGCCTTAACACAGGGGGGCTTCTAGCCTTAGGGTTAACCTGAGGAGCTGTCCCTATACTTTCGGAGTTCCCCAGAATGCTTGGGAGGTTCGTGACAGGAAGCCTGCGTTCTGGGTTTCTTCGAGGATTTCGGGCGTTTTGCACGCAGTCGTTCGACACAAAGCCAAACCCTGCAAAATAGGAGGTTATGACCGTTTCCGTACACTGGCACTTGAGGGTATAAGTTGTAACCCTTGGAATGGTAGGCAACCGAAGCCTCTCGAACATGGTAGTTAAATCGAGCCCTCTCGAGCATCCTCTCTCAGCTAAACAAGCAAGTAAGCAAGTTATGCAAGTAAGTAAGCACGCAGATAGGTAGGTAGAGGTAGGAAGGTAGGTAGGTAGGTAGCGAAGGGAAGGAAGCAAGCAATTAAGCGTGCGACTGAGCAAGCAAGCAAGTAAGCCAGCATGATCTAGTCAGTAAACAAGTAAGCAAGCAAAAAAGCAAGCAAGTAAGTAGATCAGGCCGTCAGCAAGTACAAAACTCAGTCCTGACGGAGGAGAGTAGGTAGGTGGTTCTGGCAATACCACAAATATTAAGATTGACAAAGTAGCAAGGGCGTTTGGCGAAAAGAGCAACATGTGCAGAATTCATCGCAATAGCTATGGCAACAGCGCTTCGTAAATTTTGGATCTCGCTATCGGGAAATGCTGAAACGAGTTGGTGCCAGAGACCAGAAATCCCAGTGTCTCGGACTTGGCCCCTGCTGGATACTGTATTGTACTTGCCCATTGTGTCTCAGCCGTTTCTAACACCTCTGTCGCAAGTAAGTGTAAGAGTGTGTGTGTGTGTGCGTGTGTGTGTGTGTGTGCGTGCTTTCGTCTTTGTGTGTCCGGGAACATGTGGTGTTGGTGTTGACCTGGGTCTTGTGTCGCTGTCTGTCGAGTCCGCTCGCGAAGAGAGGCAGACCCGAAGCCAGCTCCGAGAGAGACGGCCTCCTGCAGAGGCCGATCTACTACGGCGAGCCGCTGCAGCTTCAGCACCTCAGGCGACGGCTTGCGTAGCTCAGAGTTTGGGATTCAGGTCCTAGTTGAATGAGCTACTTGTCGTTTTCGCGGTTCAAGAAAGCCACGCCGTAAAACCACAGATCACCGCCTGAACAACACGGACCGCACCAGGATGCACAGGGCCCAACATAGGTTTGGAGGAGGGCGTCATGCAACTGCACCTGGGAGTGTCCGTAAAGCTCGTGAGGCGACCCAACAGGCTCCACCCAATCCGAATCCTAAACCAAACAGGACAGGCCGCTTCGTTCGCGTCCGCGCCAAGGCCCAGCCGGCCATGACAAGCAAACTGGCTCTGTGTCGTATTTAAAGTCCCTGGTTTCATGAGTCTTCTGCAGCAGTTTCGGGTTTCAACGAGTTTGGGGATGGGATCAAGCGTTGCGAGATGGGTAATTAAGTGCGCACGGGTCCTGACCGCAAGTCGCCCGAGAGACTCAACCACCTCTGCAGATCCGGACCAAAGAAACAAACAAGAGATCGGCAGCAAAAAGCCACTTTGGATTCTGCACTATGCGGCTACCTGTTCTCCCCCTTACCCAAAGCTCTCGAACATTGCGCATCTTTGCAATGGGAACTTTAGTTCTACAAGTAGGGACGAATCGGGCTCAGGATTCCAATCCTAGGTTTTTCACAACTATTTGAGCTGGACATGCAGTCTTAGAAGTTAAGACGGAAGTGTAAAGATGCAGGACCCGTCGGCACTCCCGAGCCCTAAACCGCTTGACTGGGGCCACTTGTAGCGCAAGCACCTGGCCAGAAAAGCTCCTTCCTTGCTGTGGGGTTGCAAGAGCCTCGGTTTCCAAGAACACCAGCAGTCATGGCCTTTACAGAGAGGTGTCGGCACCCCTCCAGCCTGCGGCACGCATGGTGGAGCTGCAGGATGCTGCCTTATATGGTCTTGGATTGTCATCGGTTCATCGGTTCCCCCTTTGGTAAACACTCCCTAACAATAAAAAACACATTGGGGCGAATCCTCTCGAAAGCACCCTGCCCTTTAAAACCTGACCTGAAGGGATTAGGTGTGTTTATAGCTTTATATGCTCGAATGCACATACATTCCCAGGCATGCACGCGAACACACATGTATTCGTGCATGCAGACATTATTACATTACATGCATGCATACCTACCTATACACGCGCCCTTTTCAAATGCATACATACATACATACATACATACATATGTACATGCCTACCTACCTACCGACTGACCGACAGACCGACCGACCTACCTACCTGCCTAACTTATCTGCTGATCGACCTGACCTAATGTGGCGTCACCTGACCTGACCTCACCTAGCCTAAGCGTAACCTGACCTTGGCTTGCCGTTGCTGTTGCCTTTGCCTCGCATTAAGTACCTGTGCATACATGCAAGCACATGCCGACATACATGCCTATATGATTTCATTCAGAAGTACATGGCTATACAGACCTACGTGCATACATACCTACCTGCATGCATGCATCAATACATACATGCATACTTACATAACGCGCATGCATGCTTACATACTGGTACACACTGGTACACGCACATCCAGGCGCATGCACACACACACACACACCACGCACACATACATATACATTTATACACAGACATAACACACACACACATGTATGTATGTATGTATGTATGTATGTATGTATGTGTATGTATGTATGTATGTATGTGTATGTATGTATGCGT